AGAACATATTCTTTCGCCTATATTTAATTCATAACCTACTAGTTCAGCTTTTTCTTTTCCTTGTTCTGAAATATTTCGCCATTTAGAGTCATCTTTTTCTATTTTGCAAACGGAACAAAAACCAACGGGCATTTTAGTAATGACTTGTAAATCAAGAAATAAAAATTGTTACTTCGAATGGATCCAGGTGGATCCAGGAATATTGAAGTGAAAAGAGTATACTTGTAAAATTTGAAAGGTTGTTATTTAGTGTACTTGTGCCCACCTCATAAGGTAACCCATCGTTTATTCTAAAACAATTGAAAAATGTTCGACATAATATAAATAATATAAAAGGAATGTCCACCATGCTGTATGGGTTCCGGAAAATTTCAATTAGTGAGTGATCTGTGAAAATTTGCGCCAAAATTCTATATATTATGAAATTATTGCAGTTGTTTCACGTATCACGAATTAATAATATGCAAAAAAATTTCCATATTTTTGTTGCACCAACGTTTATTGGCTGATTCTCGTGTAATCAATACTCGCACTGAATTTTATATAATTAATTTCCGCTTTTTACTCTTTGTTGAATTACTACGTAATTGCAAACTATCAAAAAAACGGACAAGAGTTTTAAAAAAAGTAGTATAATAATCTGATCTGATTCATTTAGAATTAATTTCTCAATCGTAAATTATTTTCAACACAGGTAGAATGAAGAAAAATCGGTAATTCTCGGGATTTTTGTCAATTATAGATCCTGCTTGCTGTTTTTAAATCGGATTTTTACCATTACAATCAATGCCTATTAATATTAAACCATTTAGTTAAAATTCGATGATTGATTGATTAACAAGCATTTGTAAACAAAATTATTAGTTGAAATCAGATAACTACAAAATTTTTATTATAAAGAATTAAATATACTTTATAATATTAATATTAAAATCAACAACAGTTTATTTAAGCGGTTAACTGAAGGTTTCACGGTCAATTGACCGGGTAAAGAATTTTTAGGTTGAGACAATCAGTTTTTTGTTTTTGTTTTATTATTATGTTGAGCACAACTATATTCCAAAGGTTTATATTGTGACAAACAAAACGGATTTATCGGAGTGTCTTGTAAGCCTCTTTCATTTTAATATTTTTATATCAATATTCGTATTTTTATTTATATTTTCTTATTTCCTATATATATTATTAATAATTAGTGGAACAAAAATAATTAAATAATTAATATTTAATGATTGGTCAAATTACGAATACGTTGTCTATAAAATAAGTTCATGGGAAAAGCTTTTCATATTATTTGACATAAACAATTATTTTCTCTCCAAAGGATTTCTTTATTCAACCAAAACAACAAAATGAAATTGAATTTCATCTTGTTTTTTTCACTCCTTCCGCTTGTGACAGCATCCATTATCGATGAAGGGTATAAGTCTGAACAGGATGTGTATGATGCAACGCTTAACACATTCTTTCCGATCTTTTTTGTCATCTTGTTCAATATTTCAGGGAAAACTGGACACTTCAGAAATGTGCTGTTGCCATTACTGGATGACATATTATACAACATGGTCACTTGGGTGTTTCCGCTGATTGTTTCTTTGGCCTATAATGATTTGCTGTATATAAAGATGTTTTCATTTGTAAACATGAGCTTGCATCTAACTTTCTCATTATATGCGATAATTAAACATAAAAAAGTTGAGAATGGATCTGATTCTTTTACTTTTATCGTTGCATTCTTGATATTTTTCCCAGCTATAGTCATTCCAACATTCTGGACTCTTGATATTATGTACAGACAACTCTTTGATGTAATTAATATAGTATTCTTTATATTATTTGGGATATTGTTAGTTACAGCATTAATTACTTGTCTAGTATGGTGTTGTACTCCTGTGCCAGATAAAGTATTTGATCAGAAGATTGTTGGTGTATTATTTCTTCCTGGATGGTTTTATCTCCCGAATATCCTGCAAACATTATTTATTGTGTTAAAATGGCCAATTAATTTTTACTTTGCCAAAGCATGTATGTTTGTACTGGTTCTCTCTTTAACAAGAAATGTGTCCTTCTTTACAGAGGAGAAACCAGCGCCTGATGGCTTTCTGGCTACTTCAACAACATTAACTCAATGTGGACTGCGCAGAACAATAGATTATATGCTAGAGGAGGATAAAAATCAAATAATTGAGGGGATGAAAAAACCAATTTCTGGTTACCTGCGTAAAATCATAGATAAAAGTCAAAAGGATGAAACTCAAAAGGAAATAATCAGGAAAATGAACGAATCGATAGCTGAAATGAAAAAATCAATGACTGAAATTAAAGAAACTCAAAAGGAAGAAATTAACAAATCAATAACTGAAATGAAAAAATCAATGGCTGAAATGAAAGAAATTCAAAAGGAAGAAATTAACAAATCAATGGCCGAAATGAGAGAATCGATAATGGCTGAAATGAAAGAATCAGAAATGATGGGTAAAGTGGAAAAATTGGATGAAATCGTGTGAGCAAAAGGTGGCAAGTAGATAAGCCACAACAACAATAATGATAATTTTAGAAAGGACTATTGCTGGGTGGATTTTCGTCACTAAATGTATTAATATTTATTTATTTATTTATTTATTATTTTTAAAAAAGATTTTATTTTTTATTTAATAAAAACAGTTAATTCGTGATACATGATAAATTATATGGGACAAAGTGAACATTGATGTTACTGTTGTACGTGAAAATGAAATTAAGTGAATTTGCAATTCACATATGTGAAATTCAAATTTACATGCGTGAAATTCAAATTAGCCAATCAGAATTTCACCCCACTCCATAATATTTCAATTTCACATAATTTCAATTTCACATACAACATTACCAAGAAGTTCAGGGGTCAATATCATTTATTAACATCGCAATTGTGTTACTGATATAATGTGATCATGATGCTTTCTTTTTCTAGCATTTATTATTTTTCTTTCTTCTTGATAAATCTCATAGGTAATCCTTTCTTTTCTTAGATAAGCTTCAAGTGTATGAGTATCACTTAATTTGAAAATGTAAGGAGCAATTTTTTCACCTTGTTCCCTTTTCAAAATACTTTTGATAGTACTATAATTCTTTGGGTTCCATAGTAGATCTGATGTAAATTAGCTTCATATTAATTATTTTTGTCTAGACAAATATCATGATGATGCATTATTACCTAATAAAAAGCAAAAATCTTTAAAAGGAAAATAACTACCATTTTCTTTGATAGTTGGAATGAATTCAATTTATACAAAATATTTAAATTACTTTTTTATTTTCAATCAAGGTCATTTCTTAGTTTCTTTAATTTCAATTTGAGCAACTAACTGACCATTTTGTTCTTCTAATTGCTTTACTCTTTCTTTTAATTTATTTACTTCATCTAATAATTCTTGTGGAGTTAATTTTTGTAATCTCCCATTCTCTTCCACTAATTCCTTAATCCTATCTAAAAGCTCTTGTTTTTACCTTTTATGTCAGTCTTCAACAATTTCTAAAGCTTCTAGGTGGGTATCTATTTCTTCATTTTTAGAAGACAACTCCTTAGTTTTATTTTCTAGGCGAGAACTAAAAGACCAAGGGATTTAGTAGACTTATTCTTTGCTAAACGGTGACAATAACACCTATTCCTATTTCACTTTAATCTACTACATTCTTCACAATGAGGAAGAACATTATTATTGTAATCTTTCTTACAATCCTTACAAATGAAGACTATATCAGCATTACTACCATCTTCTTCTAATGCTACCATTTGATGAGTAGCAGGAGCAGTATCGAAATTAAGAAGAGTTGGATCATTGTAATCCAAAGGGCAATAATTACATTCCTGTTTATCCCCTTTTACTAATTCCAAAGTTCTATATTCCAGCCTCATATTAGTTACTTACTTTTCTGAATAATAAAAGTCTGGAATTTTTCCTTAGTTTTTTCTTTTACTTTATTTACTAATTGTTTGAGTTTTCACAATCTATTTTGTTTTTGTTGCTTTGGCAAAGCTGGTAATTCTTTAGTTGCTAAATAATCTCTCCAGTTTATTTCCTGATTTTTATTTTTAACTGATAAAATTATTTTCTAAAAAACTTATTTGATCCAAAAGCTCTTTTTCCCTTGCATCATGCTTCTCAACTACCTTGGCCATTTTACATTTTCTTCATTCCCCAGCAACATTCAGTGCCTTTTCAATTTCCTCTCGCTCCATTTACAACTCATCATCCAATTTTCTTACCTTTGATTCTAGCTCCTTTTGCTTGGCTTCTAATTCTACAACCTTTGGTTCTAAAATAACATTCTTTTCTTCAAGCTCTTTATTTTATCATAAGTAAATCTAAAAGAATCTGAAATAGCTAATGTTCATTCACTAAAACCTTTATCAACATTTTCAAGGGTGAATTCATTACCCAAAAATAACTTCTCAACTCCATTTCCTTTTTGAATATTTTCCCACTCATCTCAAGCTCAAAAATGTTGTTTTAAGGTCATTAAAGTGCCAGCAATTTCTGGTCTTTCACTTTCCATAACATTGTTAACTGCATTTAAAATCCTTAGTTTAAAGTTTTTTTCTTTATCAGCTAATTGCTTTTTTAATGTTTCGATTTCATTTAATAGATCTTTATTTGCTTGTTGTTGTTCTTTTAGGATGTTTGTCATGATTTGTTCTTTTTTTTTTTATTCTTTTAATATATATAAATTATTTTAGTATTTTTTTTTATTAATATTTATTAAAAGATTAAAAGATTAAACTTATTAAACTTAATGATAGTAATTACAAATGAAATATTGGAGGTGATTTTATTCTAAATATTTTATTGATTGCCAGTATAGATTGGTCTTGGGCAAGTAATATCTTTGTATTCATCTTTCACAAATGGACAAATATTATGATAAAGATATTCTTGTCTTTTATAGTCCAAAGGAGGTGGTGTTAATACTAACATAGATAAAGCTTTAATTTCTTCAAAAATATCTCCTTTTTTGGTTTTCAATAAATTGAATTCAGTAAAAGGTCCATTAGCAATCTCCTGAGCTTTAACTACACCAAGATTGGATGCTTCAAAAAGAAAATGTTGATATTTCTGTATACTTGGTAATTTCTTGAAATAAATTCTCAAAATTGCTTTAATATCCAAACTGCAACCACATGATCCAGACAATCTACTCTTGTTCTTCTATAGAGTTTTTTAATCATCCCAAAATTGCCATCACATTTGAATTTGGTATGTCCTGGAAC